TCTAACTTATCTCACTTAACATGGTGGCTTCCAGTTCCATCCATTTTCCAGCGAATGTCACAATTACAGTCTGTAGATAGCTAAATAAAACTGCATTTTGTATATACTCTTCATACATTGTGATATGGACACCCAGGCTCAATCTGTGCATTTAGTTATTGTAAATAATGGGTGCGCAGGTATCCACAAAGAAAGTTCTTGGAGCAGACAGTAGGATAACTTTTATTTTATCCTGGACAAAGTCAATACATGGTGAGTCAGCAGTGACTTTGGTCACCGACTACCTAAAAATCACTTCTCCATGCCAAAGAGCCTTCAGAAACCTTAGTGCTTAGGGTTACCAATGCGTAGGTGGAGAATGCCAGCTGCTAGGCTGCACAAGATGATCTTGTTAGATTTCTTTTATTTTTCTGGAATGCTGACAGAGAAATAACAAACAAATTTGGGGTTTGAGGACTTAGCTTGAATCTAGTCAGTAGATAATGGATTTGGGGAGGTCTGTGGTCAGAGAGAATGACATGTGACCTGGCTAGTATTCTACCTGTGGAAAAGTCTGAAGAAGAGACAGCCTGATGTTGTTCAAAACACATTTGGCATTGTGTTCAACATATTTGGCATAACAAAAAGGAGCCACGTATGTTATTTGGTAAGGGAAAAAAGATCCAAAAAGTCCATTCAATGTTACTTTTTTCAGTGGGAAAATGTTATATATTTGTTGTTCAATTCAATTAGGGATATGGCTACATGTGGCTACGGTGTTGACTACTTTGACATGCGACTAATGAGACTGAGTAACTTTAATTTGAAAAGATTTTGTGCCTTACAGGCTGCCATAATAAGTAACACTAGCCTAGAGTAAATCTTAACTCATTATTCTACTTTCATCTCTAACTCTTGCTGGGAATTGAACCCAGGATCCTACACATGCTAGGCAGGTCCTCTGCTATTGAGTGACATTACAAACCCCATTATTCCACATTTTAAATATAGACATCCTGATACCTTTTTTAACTATAATAATAAATTATAAAACATTTAGAAAATAGGGGGAAACTCTGAAATACCCATAATTTTGTAAGCCTTTATAATAATTATATAGCTAGCAAATTTTCTAGGCCTTTTCTATTATTTTAGATGAATTGGGGATTGTTTTCTCTTTTAATCAGCTTTTTTAAGTTAGCATTGTAAATCTGTATCTGCAGCACTGAATAATTTTCACAACAGTCAAATTTAATGATTGCCTATTCCTCAGACTGTTGTATTCTAGTTTATTTCTTTCCTTTTGAAATTTAGGCTATTTCATCTGTTGCATGCCTGCATGTTTCTTTGGTTTAATAGTCATTATAAAATAGTGCTATAGTAAACATCTAAAAGCATGCTAATATTTCTCATCTTTAGAATGCACTGCCTTGCAAAATGTTTGAACTTTCTACAGGGAAAGATTTAGAGGGTGGATCTTTTTACTACTTTATATTCATTGTGCAAAAGTACTCTTCCAGTATACTTGTGAAAAATGAACATGTGAAAAGTTGACAAAAGGAAAGAAAGCCAATTTTTCCCTCTGTTTAGCACAAGTAATTCGCTAAATCATGAAAACATATCAATGTGTTTCTTCTTACATAACAATAAAATGCTAATAGAATGTGACACTGGTTGGGACTAATGACAAAGATCTTTGTTTCCCAAATGCACAATAAGTTCAAAGACATGATTCTAGAAAGTAAAATATTTTACATATTATTTAGATAGCCTCTACAATCTCTAAAGATGAAAGATTAACAGAAGCCTTAAAAAAGAACCATAAAATCCACCCTACTTTGTTTTGCTCTGTGTAAATCCACAGAGATAAACATTTATATTTCTTAGCTATCCCATTTATAAGAGGATATGAACACTGAGCCAGGAAACAGTCACACATCAGGCAGTTAGAGCTTCCTCTGGGGAGATTGGCTTAGGACATTTTATGGTGGTTTGCATAGTGATTTTTCTCTTAAAATAAATTCTGATTTTGAAAGAATATGATCATCATGAGCAAAAGAACCCTAGTAGTAACACACATAAATAAAACTAAGCTACAACATTTAGGACAATGGGACCTATTAAGTCAAGCTTTCTCATTAAGGTTAATAAGTAGAATCTGAACTTCTGTTATGTCATCCTTTGTTGTCTTTACTTGAATGGAGATTTGTAGTTGTGAGTTAAGACAAGGACCATACGAGCCTGCACTAATTAAACAGTAAACAGCATGTTCGGGGCAGATCTGTCAACTACTGTGAAAATGCAATGCACATATTTTAAGAATCACTCTTTGGGCATGGTACATCTGAAAAATAGCCTTTAAACTGGCCTGATTGACCCCAGCTCATTAAGTTACATCAGGACTGAATGTGTCTTCTCCTGTAGCCTGTCAAGGCAGTCCAGCCAGGGAAAAGTGCTCTTTTTTTTTTTTTTCTTTTCTTCTTCTTATTATCATTTATTACAATTTATTCAGTTTGTATCCCAGCTGTGGCCCCTCCCTTGTCTCCTCCCAATCCCGCCCTTCCTCCTCTCCCCCAATGAGCCTCCCCTAGTCCACTGATAGGAGAGGTCCTTCTCCCCTTCTATTTGACTCTAGCCTATCAGGTCTCATGAGAACCGGTTGCATTGTCTTCATTTGTGGCCTGGCAAGGCTGCTCCCCTCAAAGGGAGGTGATCAGAGAGCCAGCCACTGAGTTCATGTCAGAGACAGCCCCTGATCCCCTTACAAGGGACCCCACTTGGAGACTGAGTCTACAGGCTACATCTGAATCGGGCTTTTAGGTCTTAGGTCTTCTCCACACATTGTCCTTGGTTGGGGTATCATTCTCTTGAGGGCCCCAAGGGCTCAGTTTTTATGGCTCTGTTGGTCTCCTTTTGGAGCTCTTGTATCCTTCAGGTCTTTCTATGTCCTTCTTTCATAAGATTCCCTGTACTCTGTCCAAAGTTTGGCTGTGAGTCTCAGCCTCTGCTTCAATACCTCAATCAGTAGAGTCTTTCAGAGGGCGTCTGTGGTGGGCTCCTGTCCTGTTCCCTGCTTCCGATGTCTATTGTATTTGTCCTTCTAAATGAGGATTGAGAATCTTCCCTAGGGTCTTAATTATTGTTGTTTAGCTTCATTAGGGATATAGATTTTAGTTTGTTTATCATATAATATGTAGCTAATAGCCATCAGAATGGCTAAGTTCAGAAACTCAAGTGACAATACATGCTGGAGAAGATATGGAGAAAAGGGAACCCTCCTCCATTGCTGGTGGGAATGTAAACTGGTAAAACCACTTTGGAAATCAATCTGGTGCATTCCCAGACAATTAGGAATAGTGATTCCTTAAGATCCAGCTATACCACTCCTAGTCATATATCCAAAAGATGCTCAAGTACACAACAAGGACATTTGCTCAACCATGTTTGTAGCAGCTTTATTTGTAATAGTCAGAATCTGGAAACAACCCAGATGTTCCTGAGTTGAGGAATGGATACAGAAATTGTGGTACATTTACACAATGGAATACTACTCAGCTATTAAAAAACAAGGAAATCATGAAATTTGCAGGCAAATAGTGGGAACTAGAAAGGATCATCTTGAGTGAGATAACCCAGAAGCAGAAAGACACACATGGTATATACTCACCCATAAGGGGAAAGTGATCGAAAAGCTAGCAAGTGAGTCCCTGTCAGATGAAGTTTCTACTTCTCTTGCTAGAAGACCCACCTGAAGCCTAAACTGCCCATCTGCTACATCTTTGTAGGGGATCTAGGCCCAGCATGCATGGTCCTTGGCTGATGCTTCATTCTCAGCAAACCCCTCTGGGCCCTGGTTAGTTGGCTCTGTTGTTTTTCTTGTGGCACTCCTGTCACATCATGGTCCTTTTCTCTTTCCTCCTACTAATCCCCAAGACTCCCTATGCATCCATCAATGTTTGGCTGTGAGTTTCAGCATCTGTTTTGAGACATTGCTGGGTAGAGCCTCTCAGAGGATTACTCTGACAAGCTCCTGTCTGCAAGCTTAGCAGAGTATCTTTCATAGTGTCTGGGGTTGGCACTCTCCAATAGGGTAGGTCATGGTTGGGCCAGGAATTGGCTGGACATTCCCTTAATCTTTGCTCTGATGAGCTGGAATAAATGGGAAAGGAAGCGTCCCTTTTCTGAGGAAAAGGGGAGGGGAAGAGGAAAGGAAAAGGAAAAATGGTGGGACTGGGAGGGGAGGAGGGAAGAGACGACAAGGATGTAAAGTGAATAAGATAAATAAATGAGAAAAAGAGGAACAACAACTACTAAACTGGCCTGATTGGAAGAAATCAAAATATATTCTCTCTCTCCTCTCTCTCTCTCTTCCCTCTTGTCCTCCCACCCCACCCCACCCCACCCCACTTCACTGAATTTAATAACATATGGTATGGATTTGTTTTTCCTTCATACACAACAGTAAAACTATAGGGACTGATAAAATGACCATGTCAATGCTTTTATTTATGACAACAACCAGGGACATGGGTCTTTGTCTTGGAAATGGAACAGGAGTCTCTGGATGGGTGGTCAGTGCAACATTGTTCATAGTGTAAATAAAGTGCATTGCTAAACAGTTCTTTAGAAAACAACCAATAATGTTTGTACTGGAGACATTTGAAAGATCCTTGGGAAACAACCGCCACTTTGGGATTATTAAGGGAAGATACTTGAAACCTAGCACCCAGCTAATTGCTTGCTTTCCTCAGACCAGCTGCCAATCTTTGAGGACCACCTCTAGTTTTTATATTGATACACATGGCATATTATTATAAAGTCCACTTTGCTTAAAAGAATGCAACCGCAGGGCTGTATGCCAATAGGAGCCATTCTTCGTGCCGCTGCACCATGCTTCTCATATGAGTGATGAAAGGCTGCTTCGAATTGCTTGTGCAGGTCTATTTAGTGAGTAAATCCTAGATTAAAGGGTTTTCCTTTTTAACTAACAGAATTCATAGCTCAATTTTTGTGAATTACAGGTTGTTTTTATGAGCCTATGCAAAAGCTTTTGGGACTGTGGACTTGTAGCCCTGGATGACATTGCCATACAATTGGGAAACTGCCAGTCTCCAGGTAAGAGGACTATCACTCATTTCAGCTGTGTGCATCTCTACCCTATGACAGACACTTCCAGTTTCTCTAAGAATCTCAGACATTTGACCTATGCTATTCTAGCCTTTGCTTTTCTTCACAGACATGCTTCTCCACAGAGCTTTGTAGTAGATTCCACAAGTTGGAAATGAAAACCCCAGTGCTCTGTATGTCTTTGTATGTGTGACTTTTCCTCATTGTAAGGAAAGTTAGCAATACCTCCCTGAATGCTGGGGACAATGCTTATGAACTGTCCCCAAACAATACTTTAAAAACAAGTGCACTCCATCTTAACTAGTATTATAATTGTCATCATACTCTTAGGAAATACACATGTTCAAGTAATATTGATGGCATTGTTGTTTCACAAATACTTGCAAGATCTGTACCATTAAGTTTTTAATAAAGTTGATATGTTCTAAGTCAATTAAGTGACAATAAAGCAATAGAGCCTACAGCAGCAACAGGGGACATAGCCTTATGCTGCTGCTAGTGGTTATTTGATGTTTTATTTCATAGTTCCTTGAGAGTTTTATACAACTTGGTTTTGATCATATTTACCCCTCCAACTCTTCCCAGAACTACTCTCTGTCCCTCCTATTCCAATTTGTATCCCCTTGGTTTAGTTGTCTTATTGCTATTGCTAGGACTTCAAGTACCATAACACCAAATTTTTACTAAGAATATGGATGCAGGGAGGTGTAGCAACGTTGATCCAAAGAAGTCACCATTGAGTTGAGAGACAGCACAGTTTCAGTGGTAATAACTACTGATGTTAGTTAGGACAATATTGAAGACAAATACTGGCTGGGGATGCAGCTCTGTAAAGCGCTTGCCTTGTGTATGCATGGCCCTAGGTTCAATCCTCAACATAAAGCACAGACAATCATGTCTGGAAATGGAAAGTGAGACTTTTATAGCAATATAAAATTTCCTAATATTTTTATTACTAATAGTTGTATTTTTACCATGTCCTAAATTCCTCACACATACCATCTTATTCAGTCCTCACACTCTTATGAAGTAGAAGCCATTAATATCCCCACACACAGATAAGGATGTTGAGGCACAGAAACATGACGTCATTTAAGCTTCACAGCTCTGCCTACAGTCATAGGCACTTTGTGTCTTTCACCTGTCTCTTCTCCTCCAGAGTAAATATAGAGCTGATATGAGGGTATCCTTCACTTACCCTGGTTTTTTGAAGAATGCTCTTACATTATGCAGCTTTTTAATCTTAATTAGTTAATTTGCTTCTTTATGTTTTGTGTGTCTTTTTGTAGAGGAGTGTATCCACAGTCTTCAGAGCTTTGTAATTCCACTCATACAAATTCCCAAGTGTGTGTGTGTGGCGGGGGGGGGGGGGGCTTGCTCAAAGTAACTCAATATTTCAGCTCTAGATTTCTGATTCTATGCCACCATAGGACCCATGCTGGAGCACAGATTCGCTGGAGGAAAAGCTTGGTAGGCCATCTGTTGGGGTCTGCCTCTCTATAGGCTTGACATATGGCCAGACACCTCTTATACATGCAAAGCAGTGCAGGTAGGAGTCATGAGATGATACATATTCATCGACTGCCTCAGCAATTACAACACCTGCTGTTTCCTTCCAGAGAGACTTCCTCCTCCACCTGGAGAGTGCACTTTCGACCAAGATGAATGTGCGTTTACACAGGAGAAAAGAAACCGGAGCAGCTGGCACAGGGGGAGGGGAGAAACACCCACCTCCTACACAGGACCCAAAGGAGATCACACTACTGGGGTAGGTGAGTTATGCCACATGGTCCTGTTTCCTAAGAACATAACTTAGCATGCTGGCGGTCATTTACTGCGTTTTGAATGTACACATTAACGTCTTGCGAGTGGAATGAAATACGTGTGATTCTGTACCCATAAGATTGTAATAGATTCCTTAGAAAATCATCTTTTAGAATACTGCTTAATGTATACTTCAAAGATAACTTAGAACTAGGTTTTAAAAACTGGAAGAGAAACAAAAACTCAGGCAAAGAAATTAGTTCAAAGAAATCGAAGTTAACTAAGGCTTAGTACATAAATTTACAGGCAAGTAAGGAGCATGCAGATAAGTTCAACTCCATGCTCTCTAGAATTGAAACAAAGACAGAAAATTCATCTAGGAATCATGTGTGTGTTCTTGGGATGAAGCAGGGGCACAGATAGCTGGAGGTACAGACAATCAGGTGGAGTAGTCTCTCCCTCTCTGTCTTTCTCTCTCTCTCTCTCTCTCTCTCTCTCTCTCTCTCTCTCTCTCTCTCTCACACACACACACACACACACACACACACACACACACACACAGGACTTGTTCAGACTGGCCTGGAAGTCAGAATCTTCCTGCCTCAGCCTCCTGAGAGCTCAGGGATGTAGACATATGCCACCATGCCTGGCTAAGGAGTATATTTTAACACAGAATGTTAAATAGGAATATTTAATAGTCCTATTTATTCCAATATTCCAATAGGACAAACTCAAAGCTGATCTTCCTATTACAACTGCAAATGAAAACAGTGGTAAAGTATGCCCCTGTTTTGATATATCTGTTAGATTAAAGCACAACCTTTAGTTCAAAGAAGAAAAATTATCCCTGACCTAAACTCACAGAGAGCCTTGAAACTAAGCTTCAGGGTCTGTGTAGAGGAGCCAATTATATTGTTATGTACCTAATGACTAACCTCAAGATAAATCTCTGACCAAGTTCATAGATTTATGAACATGGAGCAATATACAGTGTATATAACCTTTTACTGAATAGCCAAACATGGTAGGACACAACCACAAATAGTCTTTTATTCATCATTCACTTTATATAGCCTGAAGACTTTTCTCCCCACACCTTGGTAAATCCCTTAACTCCCAGACTGGCTGAGGTATTAGAATAGTCAAAATTCAGGCATGTTAGAGTGTAGTCCAAATCAAAACTTCCATTTCTCATTCAATTAAAATGCTTCTGATTTTCCTAGCTTGCCCTTGACTCCTTGTTTCAGGAGGATAAAGGAGAAAACTGTCTAGTCTTTAATCTTTATTCCATCACCTCTTCTGCCTTCCCTGTTTGTCATCCTTTAGTCATGGCAGGTAGAGGAGAAATTAAAAAAAAAAAACTTTCAAATATTTGGTGCTATTTTAAATTATGTCTTGGCTATTGACTCTCCCATCGTGACCAATGTCAAATGCTGGCCATTTGGAACTTCTTCACCACAGCATTCCTGGAAGTTTTCCCTCTGCCTAACCCTTCAGAACCAGCCCTTTGTTCTCCATGCCTCCATGTTGAAGTACACAACTCTATACAACCACCCAGGCTTTTTCTGAAAATTTCTGCTTTCTTTGAAGAGCACTTGATTCCAACTATTTTCCCAGAGTGTCCACAGGCTTCAGAAACTAATGTGCTCTCACCTAAAATATTCTACCTGGTTCTACCACTGCCCTTTCCTCATGATGCTTTGTCAGATTCAGGAAAAGTGTTTTCTCAGAAAAGAATGCTGTAGAGGAGATTCAGCACTGGCCAAAGGTAGATGAGATGTTCACTTTCAGTACTGAACAGTGATTCTAAAAATATTGTGAGATCCTTTGAGGCTCCCTGTGAAAATACATTACAATGATGAGTAGATGTCATATATGAAAACACTTTGGCAGCTCAAACCAACTTAAGTGGACAGGGGCTCTCTCTGACATTTGAAACAGAAAAGGTCCGTTCAGGCACATCCTGATGCAAGGGATAAACTGTATAATCGTGAGACTCTTCACTCTCTTTCCACTGGGTTTTCTGGATTGGCTCTCCTATCATGGAAAAAACTGGCTACAGAAGAGGCAGCCTCATAGACTTTCAACACTGAATTTTGTGGACAGGGATAATTTAATGAAAATCTCCAAACTGAGCCCTTTTATTGAGAAAGTGTATTACAATGGAGTCCTGGCTGACCTGAAACTTGCTAGGTAGACAAGGCTTAAATTCATCTGCCTATGCCTGCGTCCTAAGTGCAGGGCCTGTGATACAATGCCCAGCAAAAATGAGCCTTATTAGCTCTAAATAGCAATGTCATGAGGGCAAAGTGCTATAAAACTGTTGATTCTCCACAGTACTTAATATTGTGACATAATACATTATAGATATGTAAAAATCTTTACGGGATAAGTGAACAAATGCATGAATAAGTGAATGAGTGAGTGAATGAATGAATAAACAAAAGCCTTTCCTGGCACATGTAAGAATGCTCATTATTTAGCGAGACCTCCAAAACCTGGCATGGTGGCACAATTTATAATCCCAGCACTCAGGAGACTGAGGCGGAAACATTACAAATTCAAGGTCATCCTGGATCACATAATGGGATCCAGGCCACACTGGACTCTATAGCCAGACCTGCCTCAAAATAAAAACAAACATACAAACAACAACAAAACCCTCCAAAGGAAAAAAAAAAAGTAGGATTGTGGGAAGATACAAATTTTAAAAGCAGGGGTGCAGTAGTTTAGATCAATTAGTTTAGCTAATCTGTTAGAGGAATTTTTCCTGAGAGAAGGTTGATAGTTTTCATTCTTTTTATGCAGACATAAAGAACGCTTCAGTTAGAGGTATGAAAACATACCATCGCAGATTAGCATAAAGTGACTGCAAGGTGTGGGGGCTGGGAGGGTGCTATTCTGGCTAAAGAACATCATGGAATGCATTGGACATGGAAGGCAGGGAAAAGTCCAAGTAGTAAATAGTGAAAGAGCTGCTCCTGAAAAGAGCAAAGGAAAACAACCAGGCCGGGGGTGGGAGAGACCCACGAGCTTTGGAGTTGGGACAATCTAACACATTCTACTCACCGAGTATGGCCTTAAGAAAGCTACTTAAATTCTTAGTTTCAGCTTTGACTTCTAGAAAAATGAAAAATACTACAACTACATACTCATTTACCTAATTTCAAGGAGTGCTCCAAGATCAAGGTGTCAACATGGTTGCTTTCCTCTGGCCTCTCTGGATTGCAAACAGTTGACTTCTTGCCATGTCCACGCATGGCCTTCCCTCTGCGCCAACACATTCCTGTTGTCTATTTCTTATGACACTTGTATTGAATCAGGATCCACCCTAACAATCCTCTTTAAATTCAGTTACATCTTGAAAAGCCCAATCTCTAAATATAGCCATACTCTGAAGTACTGGGGTTAGGACTTCATCATGTGTGTTTTGGGAAGATGTGGCTTAACCCATAGCAGACTCCTTCCCAGAAGTCGGTGTGATGGGCTGGAGATCAAAGAAGAAGGAAAAATTCTTTCATGTTAAATGAGCAGGCATGTTCCTGCTCTTCATGGCTTTATGCTACGGTCTAGGCTTGTCTCATAGAACATGTTCTACCGTCTTCCCACACATTCAAAACTGAAAAATATATCAAAAACATGTGGAAGATGTATTAAATGACTCGTAAGTCTAGTTCTTTATTGACAGCATCACCAGGCTATGGGAACATGTATTAATAACCTTAGGGTAGCTTTGTTTGAAGATGATGTGGTTGTGTTCCCTTTGTCTCTTTGAAAACTTAAAAGAATGTTTCAGCTGGCTAGGGTGAATCTTCACAGCCTAACCACGAATGCAAATGTTTCTCACTGAACTCCATATTTATTCTGAATGAATACTAGACACATTAAATGAAAATCTTTGGTGCACAGTGTAGAGAATGCAGATTTTTAAAAAATAAACCATTTCACCTGCTTCAATATTAAATTCCAAAACATTTACAAAATGCCTTTCAGATTTTTAACTAATAAAATATTTTGGAATCTATCTTTTTATCCCTGTGCATACCAATGCAAGCAAGAAAACAAATTCTACTATACTATGCCCAGGGTACGGCAGGCTCTATGCCTGGAATCTTTATACCCTTCCTACAATCTGTAAGTTAAAGGTCCCATTTTTCAGACGGAGAAATAAAAGCTTGAAGAAGTTAAGTGCCCTTCGGAGCTACACAGTAGTAACCGATAAAGTGGGAATTGTATTTCGGGTTTATTTGGTTCTGGTGACCATATTCTTTTCACACTCCACACTGGTATCACTGACACATCATTCATGGCTCAAAATGCATATGGCCAACAGAAATGATCTACAGGTTTCCCATTGCTAGTGTCTGTATTCCGATATTATGCGTGTAACTCCAGGAGTGCAGCCCACTCTCTTGATGTCTATCCCGACCACATGGAAAGTAGCTTTCTTGTCTTTAATAGCATGGGTTAAATACGGCTGATGTATCAGCTCTCAGATCAAAGAGAGGCAAGTGTGACTCATTAAAAAATGAAAGCATAAACAAAGAACTGATTGGGTTTTTCTATACATTTATTTGACTGGAGACAGTGTGTGTGTGTGTGTGTGTGTGTGTGTGTGTGTGTGTGTGCGCGCACACACACACACACACACATGCACATGCCACAGTATGAGTGTGGAAGTTAGAGAACAACTTTCTGGAGTCTGTTTTCCTTCTACCATGTGAATTCCAGAGATTGAACTCAGATCATCAAGCTTGGGGCAGGCACTTTTACCCCCTCAGCCATCTCACCAGCCTCCAAAATAACTAATTGTTCAAGCTATCAACATCAGAAGTGAAATGATATGTAATCAAATATCTTAGAACTGGAAGTTACCATTAATATTCTTCAATCCAAGGTCCCTGCTTGGTTCATTCCATACCTCCTGAGCACTCAATACCCCTTACATATTTTAAAAAATCCAAATAACTCAGAGCTACAAGTAAAGCAGGAAAGGCCAAGTTCTAGA